AATGACAACTTATTTCTTTAAGCCGGGGAGTGGCAAGTTATTTTGTAAGCCGCCCAAAAAAACTGATTAAGCATTCATAATAAACAACCGAAGGACCTTCAACCATCTTTTGCACGGCTCATTTGGGCTATCTTTCTTAGCTAAAGCATGAGCTACATCATTAAGCTAAACACATGGACTATTCCCATTAGTAGAACACATCTAAACCAATCGACCCTATAGGCTTCCGTTGATGAGAATAAAACCTTGACTTCTTCGACCATATGCCCGTACACAGATAAATCTCTCCCGGCATCAATGTACAAACAAGTCACATTGCTGATGCGTTCGCTATAACGCAAGGGTTGTCTAATTACAACCATTTTTTTTTTCTACTTCTTCTTCCTATCTCTATCGCTTTCTATCGGTGTCCGGCTTTCCTTTTTAGTCGAGGCCATTCTTGATAGATAATTTTGTAACGAATATTGCGATACGTATGCCTAGATTCACCTATGACGCAATGCAGTGGTCGGGGGCAATAAGAGCTTTCATTGTCATCTCAAAAAGTTGGCTTAGCTTTTCCAACGGCTTTCTCAAACCTAAATTCTCATTCATATCACGCAACATATGCATCTTTGTTCTCCATGACTACTAAAAGATAATACATGATATGATTTGAGCGGCTCATCCTCTCGCTCGAATACTATAGGATTAGAAAACCACTTTATGTTTGATCAAATAGTGTTTACGCCACAAAAAAACAAAAAAATGAGTTTTGGGTAGATGAAACTTTGGGGCTGTTTGGTTTCTGCCCGCCTCGCCCTTCCAAATAATTGGCGTCATGGCGCGCCAAATAATTGGCGAACGATTTGGCCGCCCTTGTTCCGTCCGTGATTCGGCGTAAAAGGTAGAGAGGAATGACTGAAGCATGCTGGCGTGCCAAAATTTTGGCCTGCAACCAAACAAGCAGCGATGCCTCGGTCAACGCCGATATATTGGCAGGGCAGGCGATGGCTTCCATCCAAACAACCCTTTTCCTTCAAAATAGGGTTCAAAGCAATACTTAGGAGTAGCTTCCAATCCCGCTATGAAATATTCCTAAGTATCCAATCATCCAAAGCATTCTACTATGAAGTTGATCAAAGGAGCCCTAACATGTAAAAAAACATGGCACCATGACAGGTAGTAGAACAGGTGAGCTCATCGGCGGCATAATAAGCCATGTATGCCTAACGAAAATGATGAGGGTGAAAATACTTGATTGTTGTACTGACAACTAATATTATATTGAACGATGTACTTAAGCCGCCAACCTTGCTTGGTTCCTTTCACTTAAAAAAAAAAGATATCAGTGCCATGTCAAAATGGATACCTTCTGCTTGACCACAGCTTAATTTGACTAATCTAGATTCTCAATTTTTTTGACTAATCTAGATTCATGACAAGATACACAAGTCCTAATGACACTTGATTGGCTCGAAGGCGAAAAGGATTGGCTTAAAGTACATTTATTTCAAAGGAAGAACCTTCCCTTGAAATCTCTAATCATGATCCGAATAGGATAAAAATAACGCCTCTCAAAACAACTGCTCATCATCAGATTTTTTTTAAGAGGTTAGAAATCCTTCGCATGTGTATCTAAGGATACATTCAGCTTTATTAAATTATTTAAAAAAGTCTGACAAACCAAATATATAGATCAACCCAGAGACACCTGGCGATCCCTGTCGTACACCTATAAAATTTGATGATATGCCCTGACATCGCATCAACACACGCCATCTAAACCGGCAGCCTCATCAAGCCGCCCCAAGGCGAGCCGAGAGCACCAACCAGTCTAGCAGACCCTCAACATGCACCATATGCGCACACTCTAGAATCCGCCGCCGCCATCTTCCGCCGTCCCATCTTCAGAGGGATCAACAAATTGACCTTGCCAGACCCAACTGTTGTTGACGCCACCATGACGCTAGACAATGCCACCATTCTGTGCGCACCCATCACCGAGACCCGCCGCCGTCGATATGGTCGATGCAACACCGCTCCACCTCCTGGCCTCTCCAGCAAGTACCTGCTCCAAAACAATGCTTCGGGAGGTAGAACAACATCAAAGGTGCCATCACCATCAAGTCCGGGAGACCTAAATCTAGGGTTTGCTCCGGAGCAGCCGAAGCGAGGTGACGATGATGGCTTCAACAAGGAAATGACGTCTAAGACACTGGCATGACAAAAATCGATGCGGTTTTCACCAGCAATCATGTCACTTCAGGCCTCTTTTGGTTCATAGGACGGGATTATCATAGGAATAGAAATCTTGTAGGAAATGAGATGACATGTATTTTAAATCCTATGAGTAGGAATAGGAAACAAGATGTCATTTGGTTAACACCAAAGGAATTTTTTCATTAAGTCTAGGCTTTTTTTTATTTTCCTATGAAATGTGGAGGATAGAAACCAATCCTATGTAGGAATAGCAATCCATTCCTATGAACCAAAGGGCTCTAAAAAAATCCTATAAGAATCCTATCCTCTAGAACTATGAAATTCCTCTAAACCGGAGGCCTCAAATCATCGGATTGTTGGATCCGTGCGGAGCCACGCCGTGGAAGCGCACATAGCCGCCGAAGCGCTGACAAGGAACATCCCTCGCTGACTCCTCTACCTGCCGCCGACCGACCACGGATCCAAGAGGGAATCAGATCCACAGAACACTGCCACCAACCATCGCCGGAGTAGCCCGCCATGGGGCGATGGCCGCCGCGCACTAGTATCGCCCAGCCACACCAGTGCAACGCGACAAGTACATGCGGGAAGGGGGAGGAGGAAGAGATCAGCTACTCATAATCAGGTACCTTGTGCCTGGAGGTGACACGAGGATTATTCAGCTCGAGAAAGCCGGGTGCTGTCACATGAAAGCGAAACCCCGGCAGCAAGAATCTTCGGCGACACCACACCATGATCTATGTATCCATGCCAGATGCAAACCATCATGATTGCGAAGGTCAAAATCGGCTCCAGACTGGAAGTAGTACAACATATGTACTATTCCAATGCTAACAACATAAACTAATAAGTAGTAGGCATTTGGAATCTTCCAGGAAGAAATTGCCCAGCTGATGCCTGTGTTCATGACCATTGACTTGACCGGGTAAGAAGAGGCAGCTTAGGCAGCAGATAACATTACCAGCTGGTACACATCGGATGATCAGTTCAACAGACAGGATAATAATACTTGGCTAACAGCTTCTCTGGAAGAGTCTAGACAGCCCGTAACATCATGAGAAAATGCCAATGGTGACTAGCCCCTCCTCCCTGATCCTCTCTTTTTCTTCCTAGAATTAAAATTTGCGACTAGTCAGAATAAACTGCGAGAAATTATATTTTTCTTAGGGTCTAGAGGGTGGAGAGTGATTAAATGCTAATCCACATAAAGATTAAGAAACAAAACATACGATTGTGAAGCTTTGGAAGCAATGCGGGCTTTTCCAGCAGGTTGCAGAAAGGAAAGCTACACTCCGGAATCCAGATCACTCAAAGCCAACTTCACATCAAAAGTAAGGCCCCAATGCTTTTTAGCTCACAAGCTAACAACAACCAAAGATAATATCATAATATATTAATCGATATTTAGTACCTGCTACATGCACCTGCAGGGTAATGCTCAGAGCACAAGTTACATCAGGGCGTGTATAATGCATAGCCTCAAGGTGATGCCTCGCATGCCATGTAGGATCGGATATGACGTAAAGTAGGTTCGGATAGAGAAGCGGGATCCTCTCCAAGAGGCGGGTGCTTGAAGAGAAAAAGTGTGGTCCGGTGACAAAAGCTGAAAAGGTAGGAATGAAAAGTAGAGATGCATGTGTACTAAAGTCATTATTTTCTATTTCTTAATGAGGCACACTAGTGGTAGCTTGCATTGGGGAGAAAAAATAAATGTAGATGCCTCAAATTACTTTTTGTCATGGGGCATATGTATCCATATGCCACCATTGTACATGCCCTCAGAAGTTAGTAGTATTACATCAAAAGTAATAATATCATAATATATTAATCAATATTTTGTACTTGCTACATCAAAAGTAAAGCTGCAATGCTTTTTAGCTCACAAGCTAACAACAACCAAAGATAATATCATACCTACTACCTCCGTTTCAAAATATAAGACTTCTTGGTAGGGCAGTTTAGCCTACCAAAACGTCTAATATTTTGGAACAGAGTATATTAATCAATATTTAAGTACTTGCTACAAGCAATTGAAGGGCACTCCCTCCGTAGAGAAATATAAAGAACATTTAGATCACTAAAGTAGTGATCTAAACGCTTTTATATTTCTTTACAGAGGGAGTAATTGTTCAGAGCAAAACTAGAGGGTTGTTGCAAGCATCTGCACAAACCTGGAGCAGAGGCAGCACACGATTTCTGAGCTAATTTGGCTGTCTCAAGTCTGTAGTTACAAGTGTTTGGCACCCCCACCCCACCTGGGTCTGTACTGTTGTGCAAGTGACCTGATCTGACAATGGTAAACTCTTCTGAACTGCTTGCTACCGGGTCCTTTTACTTAGCACAGCACAGCACAGATTGTTGAACAGCAAAAGAAGCAATGACTATCAGACAATTAGTATTACTTATACATAGGCAATTGGATGCATGTAACAAGGTGCATTTGAACTAGATATATTACTAAAAAACTGTACAATTTCAACACCAATCAAACAGAGGGCCAATCCCACGCATATCAAAACCAGATCTATCGGAAAATCTGATAGATATTAAGTTGCACTGCAAAGAGAGCAAATTACAACAAGAGGGATGAATCACAGCTGATGCAATATCTTTGTATACTCGGGTATGGTACAAGGGAAAAGCCAACATGGAAATGCAGTGTAAAGGTCCTACGCATGTATTCTCTTCGAACACGTTGCCTTCCATCCAATGCTAGCTGTTCATCTCCTCTGTATCAGCAAGCACAAACTCTGTGTACAGGTTCTTCAATGCTATCACAACCGTCATAATAAGAGGGCCTAATATTGCACCCTGAAAAAAACACCAATGGTCAGCCCAGAGTGAGTAATGAAAAGATCAATCCTCAGATGCACCATACAACAGAATTATGGTACAGTGGCATGTTCTCAGAGTAGCAGGATGATTCTTTGTGAATTAACGGACAAGCAGATGGTGCGAAAGTACGCACACATACTCCACACAGAATTAATCAACATAACAGCTTTAGTCAGATCTGTTAGCAAACTTTAAGAACATTTACAGTATAATACAGCTAAAGGTGAACAATAATATATGCATAAATGCAGGATAGGGCGCAAACTTATGGAGCAGAAAGATATGTGGAGTTCCATTAACACAGAGGAGAGCAACGGTGTAACTAGCAGGAGCAGAAAAATATTTTTGTAGTGTGTATTGACTTGACTAGCCTGATTAGTGCATAAGTTTCTCTACGCTTAATAACTTGGCATGCAGAGGAAGACAGAAAATATTTGTAGCCTACAGTAAAAGCTCTTTTAGTTGTATCTCACAAAAAAAAGCCCTAGATTCTAATACCTTCTGATTTATTTGTAGCCTACAGGAAGTTCATTATCATGGCATATGCAAGTTTGAACTGCGAAATGCACCCAATAACACAAACAAAGATAAGCCTAGAATAATATCCGTACCTCGAGAGCATTGGGAAATAATGTCATGCCACCGATTATGCTAAGGCCAGTCAGATACCCATTGTACCCAGGTATATCCTCCTGAATGACCGTGGTTCCATAATCCATGATCACAAGGTGTATCACCGTAACCATAACCGCGAGGACATATCTCCCTTCCGTCAGCAGTTGCGCTGCGGCAAATATGGAGGACAGCCATGCTGGTAGTATTGGAAAAAGTGCACTGATGATTGTAAACACAGTTGCTGTGTACACAAAATGCACCTTGAAGAACTTGAGCAACAGCCATGTCAGGATTCCTTGGAATATAGCAATCTTGGCAGTGGCTAACAAGACACTGCTAATGGCATGGTCTATAACCTCGACGCAACGCTCCTTTACTTGTTTGGACACCGGTAAGAGGTCAATGACCTGCTCCGTTGCCCCGCCACCCTCAACGGTGATGAGGTAGTACAGCACCCACATAAAGACCATCAGCTGTGACACAAAATTGAGCACCTCTGCTGCACCGGAGAGAATGCGGAGAGCAATGGATAGCATCAAATTGGCACTACCACCGAGCACAGAGGTGCCGCTAGATAGCAGACTCTTTGCAATCTCTGTGCCCTGCAAAGCCAGGTCCTTGGCCTTCACCACTAGATCCTCCCTTGTGATTAACAGCTCCCTGAAGAATGAGTCCAGCTCCCTGTAGATCTCCAACCACTCCCTGTTCTTCACACGCAGCGTAATGGCCTGCAGCTTTAGCGAGTACGGGTGCGGTCTAGAAGTGATGAGCTCCTTGCTCTTGGCACCAGATGGGACTGATTGGCTGATCAAGAAGTGCTTGAATCCACTAGTGAAATCAGTAAGGTTGTATTGTACAGCCAATTGGTCTACCTGCTCCCAAACGGTTTCGACGAGCTTCCCTGAGTACTGCTCCACCAAGCCCGGGATGTCATTGTCGTCAAGCAACTTCTTGAGGCCAATCTTTTCAGAGTAGTTGCCATTCTCGACATGGGACTTGAGGGACATGACGGCATCCTTGCCCTCGAGTCCGATCTTGTAGGAGAAGAAGAAGCTGCCTCCTAGGAAGCCAGCAATCATGCCAAGCATGAGGCCGACGGCGACGAGGGTCCTGAGGTGGCGGAGGATGCCGCCGGTGAGGAGGAGGCCGCGGGACGAAGGTGTTCGACCGGAGATGCGGGAGGCGGCGGCACGGGGGATGAAAGAGGAGGGCTTGGGAGAGGCGGCGTAGAAGGCGAGGGAGACGCCGAGGAGGAGCAGCGCGGCGGCGGTGCCGAGGCGCTCGAGCAGGAGGAGGAAGAAGAAGGATGAGGCGAGCCAGCGCAGGAGGCGCGGGAAGGACGGCGACGGCGGCAGCGGGCGGCGCATCAGCGCGGCGCGCGCGTCGGCGAGGGTGGCCGCGCAGGAACGCAGAGCGGCGAGCGGGAGCGCGAGCACGGTGGCGCTGAACCCGCCGCGGAGCGGCGGCTCCCAGAAGGCGACGAGCGCGTGCTGCGTCTCGCGGAGCGGGACCGAGCAGAGCAGCGCCCACTGCAGCGGGCGGAGGAAGTCGGCGAGCAGCATGTAGAGGCCGTAGAGCACGAGCAGCGCCGTGGCGAGCCCCGCGTGCGCCATGGCGATGTAGAGCGCCAGGCGAGCGTCCGGCTCGAGGGACAGCCCCTCGGCCTCGGCCGGCGGCGCCGCCTTCTTCCCCGTCGGCGAGGGCGCGGGCTTGGGCGGGTCCTCCGCCTGCTTGGGGCGGCGGACGGAGGCGGAGCGGAACATCTCGGACCAGGGGATGGTGGCCTTGCAGGCCGCGGCCTGGTCGTCGGCGCTGGGCACGAGCGCCATGCGGGCGACGGAATGCGGCGGTGGGGCGTGGGAAACCCTGGCCGCCTCGCCCGCTCCGGTCCGCCCGGCCCCGCGCCGGAGAGGTGGTGGAATTGGAATCGGGGACGGGGACCGGGAGGGCGGAATGGATTTGGTGGGTGATTAGCGCGGGTGGGGTAACCATAATTGACGATTAATTACCGGGGGATTAATGTCCGTCGCCTCTAGGAAGGGGATGGGGGTGGATTTACCGATTGCTAACTGGAGGGGGCCATGTGGGCCCCGCGATGTGTAACTACACGTGGCTGCCCGACAGTGAAACGTTGGTTGTTCCGACAGGTGTGTCGTGCCTGCTCCTTCTTAGCTGGAAAACAAATTAACAAGTGCTCCAGCAGCAGGCACGACACAAAAGCACGAGCACCTGCTTATAGGGATGTAAATGACGCTATCGAAATTAATGGAAAGAGGTGTGAGCCCGGTTGGAAGAAAATGTAAATGGCGCCATAAACGGGATCATAAAGCTTTTTTTGTTAGCTTGGTAGTTTATTTTTTGGAAAAAAGAAATTCTCCAACTGTTAGACCGGGAAGCGGGCTTAAACAGGCTTAAATGGTGTGCCGTTTACATTCCTAACTGCTTGATACAACTCGATAACAATAATACGATGACACAGTTGTCACACTTGTGATCCACTTGAAAACCATCCGTCAAACTACACGTAAAACACAACATGTTGTAGAACACACCATGCCGACTGTGGATAGCTGAGAGGACGTGACGTATGTGCAACATGGACCCATGATTGAAAGTAGTGACTTATCGATGTTGCAAATGGTTGACGAGCATGACGTCGGTGACAATAGAGGTGCGGCAAGAGAGCAACACAAGGCAGCACTAGTGGGGAGAAGTGGTGTGGCGAGGTGCAGAGGGAACGTGGTGAAACTGCGGTGCATGGCCGCGTCTACACCATCATCATACACAAACGTGTACTTACATAGCATCTCAGAGCAGATCCTCATGGTATGTGCATAGCAAATGCTCCTTGTGCGTATGTGCATCGCAAACCAGTCATCAACATGAGACACAAATGCATGCTAATAATGTGGAAACAAAAATATGATCGAACATCGTTGTGTCAGCCACCTGCAATCCACCAACATGAGTATGACAACCCGATTCCAGCCACCAAGTTGAGTTCAATGACACAAAAGTTATATCCATGACGCCCAGTCGCCCTCCCATGCACTTCACAAGCTGATAGGGGTGTTCTTCTCTGACTAGCCACCACGTCGTTGCCTTGATCTCTACCTTTGGTGTCTTGTTCGATTCCTCCCAGGTTCATGTTCCTCATTGTCTCTTCACTTGTCCTCCATTAATTCTATGGTTCCGCCACCATGGTTCCACCTCCATGTCAATATGCACCGCTCCCGGTGGATGGCAATGGTTGATCGGAAGGAGATGAATCATGAGGCTTGCGGCGTGTCCATTGAATCGAAGAGCGTTTGTGCTTGCTCAAGAAGGTGCGGGGGACCGAGGCATGATGACTGAAGGCAAACATGATCCGGGACCTGGACCTTTGCCGATGCATGATGGAATTGACTTCATTGCACTGATAGTGCAGCAACAAGAACACACTTATTTAACGCAAAGCCAACGAATCCCCAATGCTCCCCGGTCAAGGCAACACTTCTTACCAACTAAACTAGAAATAAAAAAGATGTTTCTCACCAGCTGACGAATGGGGTCCATCTGAAAAAAACTTAAAATGTTCACAACTCGCCATTCCTGGGGAGCTTAGTATTTGTATTTGTAAGGATATCAATGATAACAAATATTTCACATGCTCCATTTGTCCCACATTATAACATATATTGATTTTTTAAAGGATCAAAGTTCTTAAATTCTAACTAAATCTATGGAGAAAACAATCAATACAATACAAAACCACCACTATGGAGAAAGATACCAGTACTCATACTAATAGTCCAAATAAATAAAATAAAACTGTTACCTTGTACCTAATGATATTTATTTGGCACTATAGATGTATATATTAATCTCTACAAATTTGGCCAAACTATACGAAGCCCGACTCTTGAAAAATAAATCTATGCACACCATAGATACCTTTTGTGTAGAGGAATTTTTTAGGAATAATACATGATGATATTTTTTAAGATGGTGTTCCTTAGAGCTCTTTGCTTTGCAGAATCCCATTCCTATATAATAGTGATTCATATCCTCCATATTTTAAGTAAAAGAAATATTAGATCATGTCCAATGGAAAAGAATATTTCTTTTTCCCTGTCTCTATTCATAGGATTTGAGATACATACTATAGAAATTCTTATTAAGTTTAATCCAGAAAAGTAATAGATAAACATGATAATCATAATAGAGATGATATCGAATCAAGTAACATATTGTTGAAACTAATAACGCAATCGCGAACATAAAGGACAAACATCACATCCATATCAGTTGCTAGCACGACATACACTAGTACCACTAGTAGAAAAAGGCCCATTTGTCCCGGTTGGGGAACCGGGACTAAAGGGTCAGTACTAAAGCCCAAAACCTTTAGTTCCGGTTCGCCCACGAATCGGGACAAATGGGGCTCCATGTGGCCGTTGCGGCTTGCCCTGGCGGGGGGGCCTTTGGTCCCAGTTGGTAGCACCAACCGGGACCAAAAAGCATCCACGTGTCAGTAATTCAG